TATATGCGTATGTGTGTGTATTATATATAGATATAGAATATTATATATAATATACATAATATTCTCTTTTTTACCCTTTTCCGTGTCACGTGTTGTTTTACCACTCCTCCCTCCCACTATTTTTCGCGTGTGATTGTCATGCGTTATTTTTGACATCTCTCATATGTACATCATGTGTATTACATGGTTTGTAAGATACGTATATACTAGCTGTCATTCCGGTGATAGGTTTGCGCCTCTCAAAGTATTTTAAATTTCTCAATTGCACAGCGCGGAGAGAGAGAGAGAGAGCTATCGATCAGAATTTCTATTTACTCGCGTTCTCCCGGTATAAAATGTAAACACAAGATTGCATAAATTGTTGCGCGCCCGCGCTGGAATTTACTACTCTGTTTCGCATATTCCTGTCTCTCATAATAAAATATAGACTGAGAGAGCGACCAATGTGTTTGCGCGGGGCAAAGGTAATACGTTAAACCATCCATCTGTCTTGTGCGAGAAAAATATTGCCATCGATAACGCGACGACAGAAATTGTGTGTGTATTCGTTCGAATACTCACGTGGGCGCGGCTCTACACGTGCTGTAGACTTCTGCACGTAGATAAAATCTCCTTCCCGAGATACACACCACGTCGCCGCCACGCCTTGTCCATTATTTTCGAAAGAGAAAATCTTATCCGCGCGCGTGTGACCTCGACGAAGTTTTCCTCCGCGAGAGGGTTGTCTACAGCCCTCGGTCTCGGTCTCGGTCTCTCTCTCGGTCCTCCTTCCTCCCGAGCCGATGTCGTTGTCCTCTCGTTCGAATTTAATTAAAATAACGCAACAAATCCCCGTTCCAATTACCGCCGCGCCTCCCACCCTCTCTCCTCGACCGAGTCTCGTCGACGAGTAAAAACTATAACCGTGGAGTCTTACGCGCGGAATTGCATAGTTCCGCAGGGCACACCACGTTGGACCTATTAAATTCGTAGCCGGGTGTGCCACTCTCTTCTTTCGTCCCCGTCCCCCTCCGCGTCGATATTGCCTCCTTGTCCAATTTAACGGTCGGCACTCGAAGCGCCACGCGAAAAGCAAATAAACTCACTCGGTGAGATTACCCCGGTCTGGGAAACATACCGAGGGTTCGTTCGTTCGTTCGTTCGTTCGTCGTGCCTCTCTCTCTCGACTGCACCCGTATCTCTCGGTTAACTTTGTTCGTCGTCGTCGTCGTCCTAGAATCCGAAATCAACGAGGCCTGAGAGAATTGAAAATCAAGGAAGCATCCGGAAAGGGAAGCGAAATATTTAGAAATTTCGCAGCGGCGATCTCGTTCGAAAATCTATTAGACTCCTCTCCCCTCGATCGACGTGTCTGTGAGTTAAAAAAAAAAATCGAGCGGAATCCGAAGCCAAAGAACTTTAAAAAATCCGTCGGAGCGTGTAAGAACCGACCGGGGACGCGAAAACGAAAAAAATCCCGGGGATCCGATAATCCCGGAGGATCCGACAACGAAGTTCGAGATGCCACCAACGCGCGCAAGGATTGTTTATGTACGTTGATCCAAATAGTCGGCCAACAATCGTGACCCGTCATACCGTCGGCAGCTCTTCGAGCGAAGAAAGCTGCGGATTATCTCGTGATTTAAAATTATAATTGATATCCACGCGCCGCGCGCGAAAGGTGGATTCTCAGGGTAGAAGACTCGGGCAAGGGACGAGAGCGAGGGGATGGGGCTACGGCGAGCGGGGTCGGCGGCTTTATAAAGAGCGGAGAGAGATCAACCCCACGTAGTAGAGACCGGAGGATTAAATCCCGTAAGAGGAGCGCTCGCGTGCGCGCGCGCGCGCGAAAGTGAGCCGTGGAAAGCGGATAGAGTAAACATCGCGATGTTACTCTCCGGCGTCTACTCGCGCGCGCGATCCTCCTCGTCTTGAAAAAAAAATCTCCGCCGGTACTTAACTCGCGCGCGCGCGCGAGTCCCTACTTCAATTAAGCCGATTTAATTTCAGGCGGGATGGAGAGACGTTCTGACGTTACTTACCTCGGTCTTAAAACACCGAGTTTTTTCTAACGCTCAAAAAGTTTGTATCGAGAGATTAAATTGCGAGTCCGTTGCTTTGATTTTATTCTTCAGCTCGACCTACGTCCTGGGCCAACGACGCGGATTCAACGATCAGCTCAACGAAACGACGAAGCGATTCACGTACTTCGCCCCGCGTGACATGGCCTGGCGTACCGCGTCGACCATGTACCCGTCGACCACTAAGAAACTCTTCATGTCCGAGTTCAGTTATCATGTAAGTAATGTTTGTTTTTATTTTTTAATTAACCATAGTTTTCAGATTGAATCTGCGATTTGCGCGATTTCAGAATTTATCGCGTTGAATATTTGACAATCGCCGATTGACATCCGTCAAAAAAATAAGGTAGTTTTTCATTGCTCGGACGTTTTCTTTATTGCAATTTTTTCTGCGTACAATATTAATACATCGTAGATATTGGAAATGACACGTAAAAAAACTCAACTGTTTCTTTTAACTACATCCAATTTTGAAATATGAGAAAGATATGCGTTTTGATTGATTAATTTTTGTTTCGATTATCGACAATATAAAAAAAACTTTTATGCAAACGCGCTTTGTTTCTCAAGTAGAGCTTACGTTCAAATTATTTCGGTTTCGGTTGAGAGTCGGTTGAGATAATTCCAGTAGTCGTCACACGGAATATTTCATTGTTCACTGTCCGCTTTTTTTTTTTCATGAAGGGTCGGCTACTTCTCCCGACAGTCGTGTTGCTTTTATACGACGTTTTCAGAATTGAGAAACGATCGAGAAGAATCCTGCGATGTAGAGCAGATCTCAATTTTTTTCCGTGAAAAGTTAATCTTGATCATCGGATGCGCGAAATATACGCACATGGCAAATATGTGGCGAAAATTAAATAATGTGAAGATTGAAAAAAAATCACACGTGATAGTTGTTTCCGCTGAGAAATTATTATCGTTATGATTATTTTTTAAGAATTTTATTTTATACGCGTTGTTTGCAGATTCGCGCACAAAATACAGAATTACAGAAACATCATATCGTTCGGAAAAAAACTTTTCGTCTCGCTTCTCATTTCTGACGTCACAACGTGGCTAGGAGATAGCCGATCGTAAACCTAAAAAGTCTGCTGTGTTGTTGAGAATTCATTAAATTCGCGTTCGGTTTCGTTGTTGTGTTTGTCGTCCGAGTGTGAAAATCACATTTCCTTATTCATAAAAGTCATAGTTATATCGCTGGTAGAAAAGTTTCTTTAACTTGAAAACTCGAAGTTTCTTGTGATTGTCGGGCACACGCAGATGGTAATGACTTTTTATATGAAGACGCAAGGCGACGGACGTGACGAAAGCGATGCCGCACATCTCAATATAAAAAAAAAAAAAATAATAAAAATAAAACACATTTTGATGTCATTGCAAAACAAAAAAAAATTGAACTGCGTGTAAATAATACGTTCGAAACGAAACTTACCTCGCACTTGTACGGTCTGTTGCTCCGATGATGTTCGGATCGAGCCTCGTAACGATTAAGAAGATATCGTTTGATTTTCAAACTTTTGTCAAATTTCTCCCAGAAAAAAGTTTTCTTGCGATAACAGAAACCTTCCAGAAACGAGTCGGAAGACTCGCCTTCCTTGCTCTTCAAAAAAATATATATATTTTTAACGTGGCTATGGAAAAATTATTGTGTATGTTATGTTTTGGAAATATATATATATATATTCTTTTTTTTTCAATAACTTACGCGAAACCATTCGTTCTCTTCGGGCCGTTGATACTTGTCGTCTTCGCTGTCCGCATCCTTCAAATTGTCTGGTGTTGGTTTGAAAACTTCCTTGTACAAACATGGGATCGTTGAAGTGTTTTCCAACGCTCCTTCACTAATCGAGTCGCGAAGCTCCAGTGACATTGTGTTGTTGTTCAAATCTGCGTGCGTGTGTTTAAAAAAATTTACGTTTACATATCAGATCTATTTCTCGCGCGATGAAAGTCGCGGCTCGAATTATTTGTAATGTATTGTGTCACTCCGATGTTTATCGCGAAGAAGACAAGAAACGACTAAGGATTAGGTCGACCAATGTGATTTCCGCGCGGAACTAACTAGAATACAAACACACAATAATGTGTCTGAATGTGTTTGTATAATTTATTTAACCTCTTGACTGCGGGTTATTCAAAAGCAAGGTTTTCCTGTATGTGCAATCTGTGCCGCGTCAGCACCGAGTCGATATACGAAAAAAAAAAAATACGCGTGTTTGATTGTGTATATATAAAAAAAAAAAAAACATTTCGTATAAAAGTTATATAAAAATTCGAAACAATAATATTTTTAATTACCTTCCGATATCAATCAATTTTATATATTTCTATCTATCAGTTTTGCACGCAATTATTTGATAAATAATTCAATTAATTTTTGACACACTTCGTGCGTTAAAAAGTACAAATTGGATGTAAACTTAGTTTATTTGGGCAAAATAAATTATAAAATCATATATTTCAATATAACCATGTTTTTGTTGCGCCAGATAAATTTGTTGCGACGCGCATCGAGCATGAATCTCTCGAGAACAATGAGAAATGGAGAAAAATTCAAAAAGATTTTTATTTAATAAGTTTCTCGTTAAAAAACTTTAATAAACGAAGTATCACATAAAACGACCGATAAATAATTTGCAGACAAAGCAGATCCTGGAACGACATCTCGTGATAGCGGATCAGGCGTTCACAATGGCGAAACTGAAAGAGATGAGCAACGACACCATCCAGCTTCCGGCGGCCAGAGACACCCTCAAGCTTCGCGTCAAGGAGTTCAACGAAAGTGAGTGAGCTCGTCTCGCACAAACAAAACAAACGCACACACACGCACTGATTCGTATTCGTATGCCGCACGAAAAAAAAATAAAATATCTTCACTCCCTCCCGAAAAGAAGACGCGGTTCGTCGACGCGAAATTTTTTGACAACTGTGTCGGTCGCGACAATCTCGTGTGTAAACGAAACTAATGTAAAATTGGAACTACATCAGGGAAGGGAAAGTTTCTCCGCACGCGCGCGCGCGCGCACGACATAGCGTTCCCTCGCGAGAAACGTTAACTTATCGAGAGAAGAAACGCGCTTAACTATCGCATCTCCGCGCGACGCGATTGTTCTCGCGAGCGGAATAAGAACCGTTCGTTCGCCGCGCGTTTAACATCCTCTCTCTTCCCGCCTATGTATGTGTCACCTACACTCTCAAACCTGGTACTGTCTGATTACATGTAGATGAGAAGTACGACGAAAACGCAATCAGTCCAGAAACATTCGGTGAGTTGAGTTAAGTTTAGTGTGTTTAAACGTTGCCAAAGTTGAGCGACAACACGAGCGCTTTCTCACTTTACATACATATATATATATACGAGCACTACTTTGTAAAGTGTGAAGGGATTTGCACATCTTACGCACCGCGTTCACGCTCGCGCGTACATCTCTCGCGTCTGTGTGTGTGCGCGAGGTAAATGAAACACGTGCGTAACTCGCGCCGCCAAAGTTCGCTTTTTAATTGTCGGATCCTTGGTTCTCTGAGACGCGTGTAAAGAGTGTTCACAGTATGTCGATCCTTACATTTAACATCGTCTTAAGTTTGTCTTAAACCGGGAACTCTTTGTTAACTTCTTCGGTGCTATCGCCGACGGCCGCCGAACACATTTTCTACGGCCGAGTGTCAACTTTGTAGTCGATGAATGTAACTTGTACGCGACAAAAGGCCGTCAGTGACGACGCTCCGCGACGCACGCGCACCGTACCGAAGAGATTAACAAAATAATATTCTTAAACAATTAAGACTTAATATTCTTAAATATGTAAATATTAAACGTAACAATTCTCAAAGTATTTTGTAAAATATTTTTAAACATTAGTTTTTCCTAACTTTAAACTTTAAATATTTTTGTTGTTTTAATTATTTCAATGTTCCTATTATTTATTTTATCGACCGTCTCATTGGTCACAGATCGTCTAAAGACGAACTTACGACGATCTTAAATGTAAGACTGGCCTAAGTGCGAAATTTATCAGGTCGATGCAAAATTAATTGCGATTTTTGTTGTTTATTAAATATTTAAGTTATAAAAAATAAAAAAAACTATGAAATTATTAATATTAAATTAAATATTTGATAAATATCGAAAAATCTTGCGGGAATAATCGAGCGCGAAATGTATCGCGAGTCTCTGAATCCTCGAATCCGACAGTTTGACTTCGCTGGATCCTGGAATCTCCATAGAGCCTGTCGAGCGCAACGATTTCTGATTTTTCGTTTCTTGTATACGCTTACGAGTGATCGTACGTACATACGCCGAGCTTATACGCTTACGTAGACGCTTACGCTTTTTTTTTTTTTTAAACGCATATACGAAGGATCTGTGCGAGCGCAGGATCCAGCGTGTGTTTGAAAGTTTTTCAAAAGAAAAAAACGAAATTTGTGTTTCGGCACGGGACTTCGTAGACCTTCGCACTGATGATTGTGAGATTAGCGACTGTGTCGATGCTTCGTTTAAGTTTTTGTTTTGTACCTACACATTGTTTGAATTTTTATATTGCATCGCAGAGTTTTGTATTTCGCAGACGTTCTCGTGTGCGAATCGCGGATCTTTTTATCTTTCCTTTTTTGTATACGTTTGAAGAATACGTCTGCTTCGCAGCACCGCGATCGAACGTGTTCGCTTTGTCATTATTATTAAACAACAATGCGCAAAAAGCGCGGGACGCGGACGGATTCGCGCGGACGGACGCGCGAGAAAGAATCGAGTTTTGCTCCGATTTTCGCGACCAATTATAGAAACTGGGGATTCTCAATCCTGCGGGACGCGTTCACGGGCGGAAATTTTCGTTATACAGTCGCGAACGCCATCCCCGAGGGAATTGGCGCGGTCAAAAGTCACCGAATCGAGAGAGAGAGAGAGAAGGAGAGAAAAAAATCGGTGGAAGAGAGAGAGAGTGAGAGAGAGAGAGAGACAACTCGGAGAGCGAAACGGGGTACGCGAGAAACAAAAGCGTATTAATTGCGGCGAGGGCAACAATACTCATTGTGAACGGCGGAATTAATTACGACGAGCAGTACGCTCATTGTTGCGCGTAAATTAATTGCGACAACAACGGCAATAGGATATCATTACCTTTGTCGCGGGGAAAACGAGGAGCAACCCCCTCCCCCCTCTCCTCTTTTCATCCTCCACTTCCCGTTTCGCGGTTACCATTTATTGCGTTGCAAACCCGCGTGCGCAAACGTGTCACGTGGTTACGAGGCGTTCAAATCGTGTGTCGCTTGCACAAAAGTCTCATTAGCGTCTTCTTGAGAGAAGTAAATTTACGTTTCTTTTGTAAACGAAAACTTGTTTTTTTTTTTCTCTCCGCGATACAAAAGAAGCAGTTGCCCAACGAAAAGAAACGTTTATTTTCGCGTCGCGTGTGTCCCATACGTCATAATCTCTTGACGTTCGGAACCAATTGCAAATCCTTAACGCGAGATGACAAATTTGTTTGTTCGCGGGTGTGAAATTAATTATTTCCGATCTCCTTCTCTCCCCCTCCGTCGGAGATTCGACTTTGTTTCAACGACTTCCTCGCGACTAGAAACGAACGACGACGATATTTGCAATTAATCGTTACGTTAAGATTGCGCAACGGTTACCGGAAGAAAACAGATGTAACATATTTCTTCGAGCGCGACTGCATTATTCGAGCAGCGACTGTCGCGCAAACGAACATATCGATCGAGAGAACGAGCGCGCGTCTGTCGTTCCTTCGCTCTTCTCGCATAAGAATTAAAAAAAACAAGAGAACACGTTTACGAACTGCGGAAAGAGTTTCATTTCCGAAAACGAAACTGCTGCTGGCGAGGATCAAGACCTTCCTTCCGTCCCGGAAATTTCCGAGCGGACGCGACGCGCACGCTCGTAAACACAAACGTCGTCCGTTGCTCGCAAATATGACGATTGTCTCCGGCTTGCGCGCAAAGTTTTTTTTTTTTTCCCCACGTTATCGACAACCGAAAACACCTTCCCCACCCTCCCCCGCGCCGTGAGAAATATGTCACCTCGCCTCCCCGGAAAACGAACGCGAGCGCGCGCCATTATGGGCCGGAACCACAGGGTGGCGATTTATTATGCGCCTTTCGACCACCATTTAAATGCAAATTCCTTGATTACACCCGGCGCTAATTGCTACGTGCTCGTCCGGTCGTTCGTCTCGTTCGCCCACGAGCGAATTTCCGAAGCGTTTTCCAGAGCTCGCGCGATCGTCGTCGTCGTCGTCGTCGTCGTCGTCGTCGTCGACCTCCCCCGTTCGCTCCGAACGTTTTACAATCCCTCGCGGAAGAGAGGATCCTCGCTCGAGGATCACGCGGGCGAGGAAAAGATTGAGATCCGGCAGACTCTTCGTTATTCGACACGAGGAAAGATAGTACTTAAGTATCGGAAGAAAAAAAAAAGAAGGGTGGAATAACAAGCGTGTTATTCCCGTTGGGGAGGAAGAACTTGATTTCGCGCGGAGATTCACAGTGCGACCAATTATTCCGTTTCGGTAGAGACTTTATTAGATTTAGAGAAAAACACTGATTTTTACCGTATCGATTTTATTTATCTTTTTAATTAGTATTTTTCTGCGCGGCGTTTGTTTTGAGATTTTTACTAGACGTCTTTTTTTTTTGTCGTCAACTGTACTTTGATTCCCGGGACCGGGCGATTCGAGAAAATCGCCGGGTCTCGCGACAGAGACGGCTTTGCATTTTGGCATCGCAATTGGCGCGCGCTTCATTCACTTACAATACAAATCCCCCCCATCCCGTTTTGATCGCCGCCTTACGGAGATGTAATCGTGAAATTCTTTGTTTGTTTTTCTGTCTATCTTTCCAGTATATCAAGTGGAGTGGCAAGGCAAATGGATTCGAGTCTTTCGTCCGGACGTCGAGTGCACCAACGGCATCATTCACGTGATCGACGGCGTGTTTCTGAAGGACAGTGACGTGCGGGTGACGGGCGGCGCGTCGCTAGCCACCGTCGCGCCCCATCTGATCATGCTGCTGATCGTCAAGTGGCATCTGTAAAATCTGACTCGCCAACACAAGCCGCGCGCATCGTCTCGCATCTCATCCGGGGGGTGCGTGTATGTAGCAAGTTTTTCTTGGGGCCGTCTCCGATCGTCTCCTCGCGCGAGAAGAAGAGAAGCGGCGACGCGTAACCGCGCGATCGATCGTCCCGTTTTCGATCGCGTCGCGGAAAGGACGCTCATCGCACAGTGAACGAGGGGGGGAAAGGAAATCGCGAGAGTCCGAAGATCCCGGCGGGGCCCCCCGAGAATCCGAAAAACCAAAGAATCGAGGACAGTGTGACGGTATCCGCGGGCGGCGATGATCGAAGGACGAAAAAAAAACGAGGATGTCGAGGAGCCTCTTGCGGGTCTTCGGGATTCGTTTGCGCGAACACGTGGCTCTAAAAATAATTGAAAAAAAAAAAAAAAAAAAAAAAAAAAAAAAAATAAATTGTTTTTCAAATTTTGTTTTAATTAAAAACAGATCAACAATTTATGATTAGCCACAGTAACGAGCCA